ATAGTGACCCGATCTTTGTTATTTTCACTATAAGAATTCTGTTGATGATAGTTGGAAGTATTGCAAAATTTCATGTTCCTAGCTGCATAAATCGAGGAGTTATAACGAAAATTCTCATAACTGAACAATCAGTTAAATGGGAGATATGTATATGTTATAGTAACCCGATCTTTATTATTTTCACTGTAAATATTCTGTTAATAATGAGTGAAAATGGTGAGAATTTTCATGTGTAGCTGCATAAATGGAGAAGTTATGGCAAAAAATCTCATATCTGAACAATCAGTTGTATGGAGGCTATAGGTTATAGCGACGCAACCTTCGCCATTTTCATTGAAAGTATTCTTTTGATAATGAGTGACAGCATTGCAAAATTTCATGTTACTAGCTCCTTAAATGGAGGAGTTATAAAAAAAAATCTTATATCTGAACAATCAGTAGTATGGGAGCTATAGGTTATAGTGACCCGATCTTTGTAATTTTCACTCCAAGTCTTCTGTTAATAATGGGTGGAAGTATTGTAAAATTTCATGTTCTTGGCTGCATAAATGGAGAAGTTATAACGGTAAATCTCATATCTGAAAAATCAGTTGTATGGGAGCTATATGTTATAGTGGTCCGATTCTCCCGGATTAATACAATATTAAAACACACCCACCCACCAAATTTCATCCGGATATCTCGAAGACTGAGAGACTAGATTGCATACAAACAGACGGACAGACCGACAGACAGACAGACGGACATGGCTAAATCGACTCAGCTCGACGTTCTGATCATTTAAGTATACATTTTAATGGGTCTATCTTTTCTTATTCTGGTACTTAGAAACATCGGACCAAAGTTATACCATTTCATGCTCATGAAAGGTATAATTAAGTGATCATTTACCAAATATATAAATATTTACATATTCTGTAAAAAATATCTAAAATAATAAGCGAAAATCCCAAAGTTCTATATGAGTGTTCGCTATGTGAAGACCTTGTACAAGCTGGTAGCAATTTTTTTAAATCGTGTTCGTTTGGCCAAAAAACCAGTAAAACTTGCAAGGATAGAGCACAATTTTGACAATTCATTTGGAGGAGAAGTTGCGAATTCGTGCTGGGAAAATTTTTGCCAGCAACAATTTGCAAGCAGGATGCTGGCACACGGTTGCATTTATGTCTACAACAATTGGAATCAACAAATTCGTTAAATTTAAAAATGAACAATCTTATTGCGATTTACTAATGAAAGAAGTATGTAAATATTTGTTTATTAAATTAATTTAATTAATTCCAAAAATTTTAAAGGTTTTTGCTGTAAAAACTGTATTCGTAAGCGGAGGGCAGTCGACATCACTGTCGATATAGGAAACAGTGTTGCCAGAACTTTTTGGGCCGACCGGCTAGATTGGCTTAAAAAAGCGGCTAAAAACGGCTAAAATGTTTTAGTGAAAATTCACATGCTTTATTTAAATAAATCGCAAGAAACGAAAGACTAGTTAACACCATTAATTTATATCGAGTGTATATTCCTCATCATCAAATGAATCACTATTGTATATATCACCTGAATTCATTAATTTTAAGAGATCGTCATCTACAGTAAAATTATGGCAGCATTTTTCTTCACGTTTTAAACCGTATCTTATATATAAAATAGCGTTTAACGTTTTAACGCACATTGGATTTCTTTGCTTAGTTTTTATTATATTCATTGAACTAAATATTCGCTCTACTTCTGCATTACTTATAGGCAAAACAAGAAAACTAAAAACTAGGTTGGAAAGGTCAGCAAAAGGGTTTTCTCCTAGGGCATTTCGAAATTGATAAACTTCGGCCCAAAATTTTACAGTTGAGTCTAAATTACTCCAGGTATGTAACGTTAACCGTTGCCATTGCATCTCTATGGATGTTATTTCGTCGGCGTTATATTTGTGTTTTTGTTGCTGTAGTTGAACAAATACTTTTGGTTTAATTACTCTTAATGCATTTCCAACCGAAAAAAGTCAATTTTTTTTAGTGTGGCAATATTTGTAGGGAGGCGTTGGCGTAATTCCTTTATTAAAGTGATAATAAAATAGCGACCATTTTCTCGAATTATTTTCTCGGCTTCGTGGTCAAAAGCGTTTGTGCTTACTTTTGTTTTTAAATACTCTTCAAAACTGTGATAAAACTGAGGAAATGGAGCAAGGTATGGTTCCAACGGGGAGCATATAGGATCAAATGTGTCCGCGCTAATAACCACTAGGGAGCATAGATGCGAAAGTAAAACATTGAGTTCATTAAAAATCTTCATTGGGTCTGCATTATTGCTTTCGAACAACTTGTTTACTTTTTGCACCTGAAAATTAGGCAAATAGTAAAATCGGCTAAAAACGGCTAACTTTTTTTACAAACCGGCTAACAAATCGGCTGCCGGCTAGATCGAATTTTCTCCGGCTAGTTGCTATCAAAACCGGCTAAATCTAGCCGGAAAACGGCTAAAATGGCAACGCTGATAGGAAATCCGACAGTGACTTCCAGAAAGAAATTGAAGCGTATGTTGAATAAAGTCAGAATAAGAAGGAATTTACGTATAGGTCCTGTTTTGTTTTCCACCTGAAATAATTTTAAAAATTTATTATGTTCGAAATGTAACCGCGGACGCCAGCTAGCAGTGAGGCTTGCAAATGTTTGCTAATTCCGGTTCGCGCAAAACTTAGTAAGTTTCTCTCTTTGGAAGAATAAGATACCTTATTCTCTGAATTTTATTCCTGGCTAATTCTTATAGCTCAGTTATGCATACTTGGCGTTGCATGAGAGTTGTCATATAAGGAATCTGTTAAATAAGTTTTGCGTGTAAGCGGTTACCCAACTCTTTTGATTTTTAAGTAAAAATGGTATCGCAGTCCAAAGTATGCATAACTGGGCTATTACTGGCTTTTGCATAGCGAACAGAACTTACATATATCTTAGCAGTGGCCACATTGCGTGTTTGTCACAGACACGGTTTATGTCAAAAATTTTGAAGAGAAACTACATTCTAAAATTTTTTGTATCATGCGTTATAGTTTATTTTAACTAATTTTCTGTGATTTTTCTGGAAAGCTATTCTCTGCAAAGGGTGTTCAGCAGCTCTTCTTCGGCAGCAAAGAAAGGCGTTTTTTGCAAAAGATTTACAGCCCTCTTCTTCGGCAACACGGAAAGGAGAATACTACTTAGTGAGGGTTATAATCCATAAGCCACGCTCCCTCCCCCTCCGCCCCAACCACAAATGATTAATGTTTAATNTTGAGATCCCTGATACGGGGATCTCCGGGATCGGCCTGACGAAGGCTGTCACGCTCATTTGCTAAAACAGCCGCTTCGGCAGGGAAGTTTGGACGTGGGTCCGATATGCACCCTGCCGGTATGAAGCGGGCTGCAGCAGCAGTGATAGTTTAATGTACTGCAAAATTGCCCTGTTTTTCTATTGTGTCCATATTTTTATTCGTCTGTATTTTAATTTGCCTGTATTTTAATTTTTCCGTATTTAGATTATCTGCATTTTGAGTTTATGGATATATTTATTTTATACACCCTCTGCGCAGAATATTGTAGATGGCAAAGTCGGAGGAGCATTGAAAAGTTTATGAAAATAAATTTTATATAAAATGTATTAAAACGCAAAATTTGGGTATATTCATATCAAACGATAGGCGAATAATTTTTAATATTTTTTATTGAGCTTTGTACCACGATTGTTTATTAAAAAAATTGAAAAAGAAACAAAGTCTAAGCGGTAGAAGTTATAGCAGCTATTACCACAGCAGCTATAGACCACCACATCTCCTCATCAGAATTCTTTTTTCTAGACTTCAGCAGGCAAATAAATTTCCTTTATACTAAAAGTACGATAAGATCCTAATAAAGCTACTTTTGATAAAAAGCAGTTTAAAGAGAATTTTTCATATATTTTTTATAAAAACCATTTTTTATCAGAAATTTGAAAAGCAAAGTACAAGGAGTGCATACTAATAGAAATGTCATGTAATGTGGAACGATTTTCCGTCATCCCTTGTCAAATTTGGTTTGTAGACAAGCCGGTTTAGGCGTTGTGCCATCTTCAGTGTCATTTTTCGTTCGGAGAACGAACGAACATTATAGCTGAAATACAATGCCGGCGAACGGCGAACTCACCACAGCGAAATTCGCGCTGTCAAAATTAGAACAACCGCAAGCATATGAAATAGAACACAGCCAAAGCGAAATGCGAAGTTCGCTTGGCGGCGTTTCATGGCGATAGATTTATTTCTATCGCCCTGCTGGGCGATGACAGCTGTGCGTGCCAAAGGTGGCCGTATTTGTTTTTTGCTTTCAAAGTTTTAAAAGAAAACAACCTAAACACGATTTATTTTTGCTGTTTGAAAAATATAGTTGTGGATTCGTTAAATCTGGCTTTAAACAAATTATTTATAATAATCTTTCTTTGTTTTACAATTTATATTTGTTATCATTTCCTCATTTCTAAATATGGTTTAGTTTTTTCTAAATATGGTCACCCAAATTATAAAGGCGACCAAATGGGATCAGCTGTTTTCGCTACCGCTCTAATTCTGTTTAAGTAGGCGAAATAGTTGGGCGAACGGTGAACGACAGCATCGCCCAGTTCGGCGAAATTTGCCGTTCGCCGGTATTGTATTTCAAGCATTACACTCCTACTCTGTCAGAAACACAATAATGAAAATGAGGGAAGAAATTTAATCTCCCTTAAAACGGTATATTAACTTTTACAAACACCACTAGTTTTGGAGATATTACGGTTTTTCGAAAAGCAAATTTCGATCTTTGACTTTCGATAGCTGGATTATTTTTTAATTTCCGCAAGTAAATTTAAATATCGTTATAATGGGCACAAGAAGCTCTATCGATTCCTATTTTTAGTTTTTTTTTCTAGAGAAACGGTGCGTATTCTTTACTTGTTCCATTGCATAAATAACTAAACCGTACCCTTTCAATTTTTTGTTTGTTTTTTATTAGTCATTTTATACTTACATTGAATTATTACTGTTCCGAAAGGTTTTAAGAGATATTCAGGCGATATAGCTTCAGAAGAAAGTAAGCGTAGTGTCCTTGAATCAAAGCGAATGTGTTTATGTACATATATGTATAAGGTTGCAGATTTTTATGTATATTCACTGATTTTTCTCTGGCTTGTACAGCTTCTGAGATACTGTTCTCTGCGTTTCGTGGATTGTTTACTGGAATTAAGTATGAGCCGGAACTGTTTACGCTATATGGATTTGTTTTTGATTCCTTAATATATGTACGTTTATGACCAGTTTTGGTATAAGCGGTAGCCAATTTTTCCGTCTTTCGATACGTGAATAGAAACTTTATTACTAGTTTTGATACAAGTTTTTTCACTCAGCCAAAGAAGTCTCGTTTAATTGCGAACGTTTTAACGCGTTTTATAACTTTTCTACAACCCACTGCCAAAATTTTGCATTTTACTTGTATGTGTTTGACTCGATATGTTCCTCCAATTGCTTCAAAGCTTTGCTCCTAGTACACATTTTATGATACGTTTAGCTTTCACACTTTTGACGATTTTATTTCTTATTATTTTTGGTAACGAAATTTCCCCTTATTTTGTATTGCCTTGTTTCCTGCAAAAAAGGACGTTTTAGTTTATTGCAAATCTGCGAAAATAATGAAAACCAAAGATGTAAAAAAGCTGTACACTACGGGTGGCAACGAGAAAATGTCAGATTGGTGTCAGTTAGAGTTGTCAAACTAGCGATAGCACTATCGATAGTATCGATAGTTTCAATTTCTGTAGACTATCAATACATATTGATAGTTTTTTCTTATACTATCACAAATATCGATAGTTTAGTAGGTCTATCGATCATCGCTCCCAACTTTTTTGAAATTATACATAACATGAACATGAACTTTGTAAAAAGAGAAGTATTTTGGCTAAGCAGTTACTTAATTTTGAATGATTATAACTTTTATGAGATAATNGACGCTAATTTATTCAAAATTGATACACCCCGGCTTACCATGTAGCGGTAGCTTTCGGAAAGGTGAAAAGCCATATATGTAATACTTGCGCCGGGTAGTTAATGTTCGGCCCCGCCCGAACTTAGACTTTCTTACTTGTCTTAATTTTCGCTTGTGACAACGTGTGCACACGTAAGGTAAAGAATAATTTAACACAACGACATGATTTGTAGAAGAATTTGCATAACAAAATTGATTATTCATGCGTTCAACTATTACGCGGTTTTTATTTTGTTCTCTTCGTTGTTTACTTCTTACAACAAAGATGGCGTCGAGATTTCGACAGCTAGAAAATAACTTTTTTCTTTCTTTCCTTAAGGAGTGATCTTGTGTCTTTCGTTCATGGCAGTGATGGGCAAAATTGTATTTACTAAGTATTAAGTACTAAGTACAAAAGTATTTAGGTATTTTGTGTTGTTGTAAACACCAAAGTACTATTTACTTAGGTATTTAGGAGCTGCTAAATACCCAAGTACTATTTACTTAGGTATTTAGGAGCTGCTAAATACCCAAGTACTATTTACTTAGGTATTTAGGAGCTGCTAAATACCCAAGTACTATTTACTTAGGTATTTAGGAGCTGCTAAATACCCAAGTACTATTTACTTAGGTATTTAGGAGCTGCTAAATACCCAAGTACTATTTACTTAGGTATTTAGGAGCTGCTAAATACCCAAGTACTATTTACTTAGGTATTTAGGAGCTGCTAAATACCCAAGTACTATTTACTTAGGTATTTANTTTTTTTTTGTTGTTTGAAAAATATAGTTGTGGATTCGTTAAATCTGGCTTGAAACAAATTATTTATAATAATCTTTCTTTGTTTTACATTTATATTTGTTATCATTTCCTCATTTCTAAATATGGTTTAGTTTTTTCTAAATATGGTCACCCAAATTATAAAGGCGACCAAATGGGATCAGCTGTTTTCGCTACCGCTCTAATTCTGTTTAAGTAGGCGAAATAGCTGGGCGAACGGTGAACGACAGCATCGCCCAATTCGGCGAAGTTTGCCGTTCGCCGGTATTGTATTTCAAGCATATGTATAACAAACCTGTCTCTCTTTTAACTTTATGACTCTACACCTACACGCGAGGGTGGTCCAAGAATGATGGAATGCTTGAACCAAAAATACAAGATCACGCCTTCTTCTTAAACTATCCCTACAAGAATTGTGTGATGGAAACTAACACATTCTCATTTATCTTACTAACCCATTTGCAAATTTTGCGTTGGTTAAAAAGAGACCATTAAATAAGGCCATACGTTGGAGGAAGACGGAAGATCACATGTACACAAATGTTTACATCAGATTTTTCACAATGCCCTTTAGAATTTGATAGAAACTTGTAGGTAGCCAGTGACAGAAATCTCTATCAGTCTTGCCACTCAAATGATTTGTCAAATGATAGTCACTGTTCTTGCAGGGAGATTATTTTATAACTACAGATTAACAAGGGACGATTTTTATATGGCTAATCTCTTGTTATAATTACAGATTAGGGTGTTAAGCTCGAAAATGAGGACAATCTACTTATATGTGAACCTAGTAGTAGTAGCCCGTTTTAATCGCAGTTAGGAAAAGAGTTGGGCGACTTTGACGTTAGCCGTTTATTTACATTTGTTCGTTGTTTACAATTTGGTCGTAGCTTTTTACTGCAATTTTTATACCCGAGCGCACTTGTGCACAAGGGTATTATAACTTTGTTCACATAACGGTTGTTTGTAACAGGCAAAACGAATCGAGATAGATATAGACAAATGTATACATAAATGATCAGGATGAAAAGAGAAATCGATTAAGCGGTGACTGTCTGTCCGTCCGTCCGTCCGTCCGTCCGTCCGTCTGTCCGTCTGTGCGCACGATAACTCGAGTAAAAATTAAGATATCTTAACGAAACTTGGTACGTGTACTTCTTTCG